TTTTGATGTAAATATTTGCTGACCACCATACTTTTTAATATTTTTACCACCATACTTTTCAAAATTGCATTACTACTACAAAATTTTTCATTCCAATATAGTAACTACCATAATATCTATAAATGATCACTAAAAAAGGTTTACTCTAATACATGGGGTGACTTTAGCCCGGACCAATGTCACCCTATGTAAAATGCCAAAGACAACCTACTTTTTTAACCTCAATTACAAAAAAGTAATAAACTGTTAAGTTTTCAAAACAAGATAGAATCAAACACTAATGGTTTAAAATTAATTAAGTAAACTAAGTTAAACTAAATAAATAATAAATTTCAAACAATTTGCTACTAAACATCAACCGGCATAACTTAAGGTATCGATTTTAAACCATTTTTAAACAAAAATTTCTGTTGGGCCAAAGCCACCCAATTTTACGGTATATTTGTGGTACGACGAATTTTAACTTCGAATTCATATATAACATCTGGCCAAATTATTAGACTAATTAATTAATTATAATAATCAATTATAATAATTAACACTATGGAATTTAATGTAAAATCCTTATTATCATTTGATTTATTTTTTGTGTATTTTCATGGTTGTATATTTTTAAATTGTATTTTTCCACTTTCCACTTGTTTTTTAAAACCAAAAAAGTATAGGTAGGAATAAAGAAGTTATTAGCTCTTAAAAAAAGTTTATTGCTATCAAATGTTAATGGGTAATACTAATCCGCGGAAAATGAATCCGCGGAAACTTTTGTCGTTTGTTGTCGTTAAATTTAATGTAAACCCGCAGTTATAATTATGAAACTAAATATTAAACAAACAAATTTTAGCTTATGTTTCCAAAATCAGTAAAATTAAACAAAAAAACAATGACGACCTATTGCAACTAAAGTTATTTTATGTTAAAAAATTTTTTACAATAAAATTTTGATAAAGTTACCAAAACGACTTATTACTAGAAAGAAAACCATTTTTTCACAGTTTTTTTAACTGTATCTGATGAACAACCTTATATTGTTGCTAAAAAAACTCATAAAAAAATACGAAGACCCCCCGCAACCCATATTTTTAACTTTGTTCAAAATTTTTAAAAACGTAAAATAAATTAAAAAAATATATATCGCGGAGGGTCGTCAAATTTTTTAGCAAGAGTTATTTTAGCAATAAAACAAGGTTGGCAATCACATACAGTAAAAAAAAACTGTGAAAAATGATTTTCTTTCTAGTAATGAGTCGTATTGGCAACTTTATTAAAATTTTAATGTAAAAAAAATTTTAGCATAAAACAACTTTAGTTGCAATAGGTCGTCATTGTTTTTTGTTTAATTTTAGTGATTTTGGATGCGTAAGCTAAAATTTGTTTGTTTCTTAATATTTAGTTTCACAATTATAATTGCGGGTTTACATTAAATTTAACGACAACAAACGACAAAAGTTTCCGCGGATTCATTTTCCGCGGATTAGTATTACCCAATGTTAATACTTATTTGAGCCACGTTTTAACCGCTATTAAAACTTCATTTCTATGAGGCATGACTTACACATTACACATTAATAATTTTTTTGTTTGTTTGTCTGTCTTTGATCTCATTCTGAGCTCCCACGCGTTTTCAGTAGGGGAAATATATTTTTCAATAGGGTTAATATATGGGCTGTTACCCAGCCGAATATTTCGCTCTTCCTAAGAGGCTTTAAGAGAGTTGTTTAGCAAAGAGTTTCATCTTGCATTAAAAGTGTGTGGTTCCCTTATTTCGAAACCGTTCTCTGAGCTGTGAAATCTAAAGATTTTGTAAGAATTTTTTTAACTGATATTGCTTCATTATTCCTTTTACCACGTACTGACATCCAGTGCCTTCGCCGCTTCTGACTGACCAGATAATTATTTTTGTTGGGTGCTTAGCGTTCTGAATGACACAAATGAAACCACTACGTAAATTAATTAAAAATGAAATCTCAAATTTAAAAAATTTGTACTATCAATTAATGAAAATCCGTCATGTTTCCATTTTTAAGGTGAGTTGCAAGAAAATTTCTTTGAATTCCAGAAACAAGTTCATTAAGTCTCCTTTACGACGAGGTTTGTGCTGCAAAATTAAAATTTTTTTGACAGATTTATTTTTGAGTGCCATGATCCCTGTATTATTATCTGGTTCTTTGATCTATGGTTTTTTACAAAGTTTCTTAACTTTATAATTTAATATATGTTTTCAATAGCTTGTGGCTATGAAAATCGTATTTTTAAAAGTTCAACGCAGAAGAGCTCACTTCTGTTGTTTTCCTAGAATAGTTATTTACTAGTTAAAATTTATTAAATTATCTCTTAAATTATTTTTAAAAACAAAAAGAAACAAAACTTTGAATTGTTATTATAAACAATATAAGATTTCTTTATCAAAAAAAAAAGTTAATAAAAATTAACAATAGCAATAACATTGAAAAAAAACTTTCTGTTTGTTTTAATTTTATTGTAAACAGTTATCCGAAAAACTGCGATTTTGCTTTTTTAAATTATTTTGCCTACACTCTTTTTTTTTATCCATTTTGTTTTTTGCAATAAAGGTGCATATCAGATGTTATAAACAAATAATTAGCTGTATCCCTCGTGTTTACTGCAAAGATAGTTAGTTATATATATATATATATATATATATATATATATATATATATATATATATATATATATATATATATATATATATATATATATATATATATATATATATATATATATATATATATATATAAATATATATATTTTTTTCTTTTTCCACAAACTTTTATTGAATTAAAAGCCAGGCTTTTGAAAATGCTCATTGTATATGTATATATATATATATATATATATATATATATATATATATATATATATATATATATATATATATATATATATATATATATATATATATATATATATATATATATATATATATATATATATATATATTTTTTTTTTCTTTTTCCACAAACTTTTATTGAATTAAAAGCCAGGCTTTTGAAAATGCTAAAACTTACTCTGTTTAAACTATTTTCCAGCATAAAGTGATAAAAACTTGAACTAAAGTTTGCAAAGATTGAAAAACGTGTAATTATTGAACATTAGTTAGCCAATAACTTGGTCACTAAATAATTAATAATTTGGCTAGCCAAATTATTAATTATTAGCCAAATTATTTAGAAAGAAGTATTTGACAAGGTTTCTAGAAACCTTGTCAAATACTTCTTTCTTTAAGAGTTGTAAGCTTAAGAGTTTCTCTGGTTTTGATGGTTTTACATTTTGTTTCAGTTATTGCTTTTCTTTACATTTTCGGGTGTTAATATATACAGACATTATAAAAGGCATCCGCATTATCGAAGAGTAATGATATTCACATTACTCTGTGATGATTATAGTGCTAGATACGTCTGATTGTAAAGCAAGCTCAAGATGTAATCTTACATACGTAACATACGTAAGTATGTAGTGTGAAATGTGGTGGCAAAAATAAAATTCGACTTTATGCTTTTAATACTATTCCTCATAAATTGTTTTCTTTTTCAACAAGAAAAGTCTAAATACATTTGGTTTTTAAAATTTTTTGCTGATTCCTGCATTACGTACTCATGATTCTATTTCTTGCTATTGCGTTTTATTCACATAACCCTATATTTGTCCAAGATCACCAATTTTGATAAGAAAGAACAGTACCTGCAAAATAATCATTTTGCACAATGAATGTTTTCTTGCGAAATTAGGCTATAATTTCTACAGCTATTGTAAAATTAAAACATTTTAAACAGATACTTAGAGAGCGCATACGGTGTTCTTACTTATACACCAGGTCAAGAAAATAATATTATTCACCCACCCCGTATCCTTCCTCCCCACCCACCCAAAAAAAAATAAATTGAAACAAATGTGTTAAAGAAAGTTTTTGGTCATTTTTTAATGTCAATAGTTGATTGGTATAATTACAGAGCTGGACCAGGGTAAGCAAAAAGTTCAAAACTAAAGTTTATACACCGACTTTTTGGACCTCTCAAAACGTTTTTTGAAAAAGGTTCAAAACCTCTAACACCTTCCCCAATCATGCTACCAAACCCGAAAATATGGAAATTAATAAAATGATAATTTTAATAAGTGCCATACTTGAATGATGTTTTAATTTAACAGTTATAATGTAATAATTATCTTATCATGTTTTGACTGGTTTATATTTTCTCTATATTTTGACAAAGAGGACGCGAAAATCATGTTTACCCCTACCCATTTGAAACCTACGCAAGTACGTTTATGTAGGTTTCAAAAAAATGTGGGTTTCAAAAATTATCTGTGATCATCAATGACAAAACAGTCTTTTTGGATTGACATTAATTTTAATCAAATTTTAGCTTGCTGCGAGCATTGACTTTGAATCATCAATAAATCATTTTGCTTCAACCCAGCCGACACAGACATACAACGTCATATAGACGTCACAAGTCCGTATAATGTTCTTAAGACGTTCAACGAACGGTACCCTGGAAATGAAATCTCACAAAATTTATTAACTAGCAGAAAAGTAAATTTCTTTTTTAATGCTTGCTTTCAGTAATATGTATAGTGTAAAGATATTTTAAAACACTATATATATTTACATTACCACATACCAAACCATTGCAATGATATTCAACTTTTCTTTTTTTTTGTTAACATTAATTGTTAACCTAAGTAAACTTAAAAAACTAAAATCTTAGATTGTATCTTAGATGTTTTTTAACTGTAATGATAAAAATCACATGAAAGCATCGATAAAATGTACTTATCACCAAAGGGATTCTCAAAAAAATTTCTAACTATTTCCTTAACCCTTGTCTACCCCTACTCATTGCAGCAGCTTACAAAATAATAAGATGAATTATCATTCATTCTATTATTTTGTTAGCTGCAGTAGCTTCATTAACTATAATTATTATATTACTTTTATTTTTTTAAACTATGCATTTGAATATATTTCATATATCTTTTAGATTTTATATTGCGACTTTAAAGACAACCTAGCTTAATGATTAACTGTAGTCGAACATGGTTAACCTGATGCTGTTTTTATTAAATGAAATATTTTTGAGTTGTTATTAACTTATTTGGGGTCGTCCATAAATTACGTTACGAAATTTTCGACATTTTTTGATCCCCCTCTCCTCCCCCTCCCCTCCACCTTACCTCATAACGCATCGTAACATTTTATTGTTCCATCCCTCCCCTTCCCTCCCAATATTACGCAACAATATAAAATATAAAAATCTCTCAGTGGTGAGATATTTTTTTGTTGTTGTTTTTTTTTGTTGTTGTTGTTGCTACACACTTATATGCACCTAAATAAAGTTGCACCTGCACCTGTACCTTATAAATTCAAAGCGCAGAACGTGCACTGCACATAGACTGTTACAGTTGTAACTACTCCGTTAACGGAGAGTACACAATGACTACTTAAGATTTAGGCGCATTTAATTTTACAATCAATATGTAGATACATCAACGAAGGTTGTGGTTCGGTCAGATACTCTTTTAATTAAAAGAATGTCTCCTCTAGATTTAAAACTTGAAAAATAAATGTTGCGTCGCAAAATTAGAGACCCCCCTCGTAACAAATCGTCATAAAATCGACTACCCCTCTCCTCCTCCTTAGGCGTCATGTAATTTATGAACGACCATATTCCCATAAAAAAGCCCACTTAATTTCAAAAGAAGAGAAATATGAATCGAAAAAGCTTTGCACCAACTTAGTATGGTAAATATGATGATTTAAATTTTAGAATTGCTTATAAGGGAAGTGGGGGCATAACCGCCCCCGTAACGTAATGTTATATGAAAATAAAAACGAAATGTGTTTTTTTAGCAGTTTATTTCAATAACCACATCATTAAGCTTCATTAAGCATCATTAAGCATCATTAAATTGATGCATTTAAGAAAAAATTTAAACAGGTTTTGAAAATGTTATTACACAAAAATTACACTTAGTGAAAAAAACGGTTTTGCCCCCATTGTGAGGCACAACCGCACCCTCAAAAAAATCGATGGGGCTACACCATTCATGGTACATTTTTTTTACAATTTTCACAGCTCAGATTATTTGATGATTTTGTTGCATGTTTGAATATTGCGCAGGCATTCTTTGTGTTTACATTTTGAGTTCTGCCCCAGTAGAGAGTTTTTAGAAAGAATTCAGTTTCATAGATTAATTATTAGATTATGGTATTATCAAAAATGACTTTCACTTCATGAAATAATGCTGATAACACATATTTTTAACACTAAAATTAAATATTGCTTAATTCTCAAAAAGAAGGTCAGGAAAAATATGATGTAAATATAATATTTTTATCAAAATAAAAATTATTATTCACAACTTCTCAGAAACTTAGCAGTCACTCTTTTTGACATATGCAAAATGAAGGAAACTGTTTTACTAATGCGTGGTATGTTTTTTGCCATATTAGATAACATTTTTTGAAGAGAAATGTTAAAAAACGGTTGTGCCTCCATATGCGGTTATTCCCCCACTTCCCCTACTTTTTTGCTCTCCACTTCTATGTGTAAATAGTCTTTTTTTTTATTAGTAGTAGTAGTTCCAATCTAAAATATTGGTATATCTAAAATCTAACGTAATTAAAATTTATCTATCTAGTGGGACTATAATTTGCAATACAAAAGTACATTACAATGTTTGTAGCGAAAAATCTTAAAATCATAATCACTCGTCCAAATTTAAATAAGGTTTTATATTAATACGTTTTTTAGGTGAAATGAAAATTATAGTTTAACAATATGATCAGTTCTGATCGTTTATTGGCAATTATTTATAATTATAAGCTCTTTCTTGGTCTGAATTCCAGTATTTTTTGTGAAAATTGATAAAAGTATTGTGTTTTGACAACTATATAGTTGTCAAAAACGTATATTAACTATATATATATAGTTAATATACGTCAGAACCGATTAAAACTAGAATCAGTAGTAAATTAAGAAACTTTTTCAAAAGATTTTAACTAAATTCATATTAATGCCGATGAGCAGAATTGATCTAAAGACTCCAAAATCGTGTTCTTTAGGTACATTATTACGGGTTGTAAAAAGATTTTAAAAATTATATATAAAAAAGAAAAGTTTCTTTAAATATTATAAAAACCTTAAGAAAAAAAATTATAAGATTTAAAGATCTTGTTTGGGCATAATATGCTTGATATTTTAACTAATTTTAAAAAGTAAACTTAAAATTAAAAATATTGGATATTTTAACTAGGGTAGAGCAGTGCATGTCGTGACAGTTATGCCTAAAGCCTTATTTCAGGCAAAAAAATTATTTTTGATAAAACATATGAAGTTATTGTGTTTCATTATTGTAAAAAAAAAATTATTTTAGAAATACCAAAATGGTTAAAAGTAACAAAATGCATCAGTAAGAAAAACTATTTCAGCGTATTTTTTTTTAAAAGCAATACAACGACATAAGATTTATCTTGGACTACTGCTATTTTGCCTTATTTATAAAAAGTATATATTTTTTATCCTCTTTTAGAATCTGGTTGTAAAAAAAATATCTGGAATTTAACATTTTAAAAAGTATTAATTTCACTAAAATGACTATTGTGGGGCATACGGAACAAAAATTTATTTATACATTCGACTACCACCATTTTATGATGATGTTTACTGTTAGATGATTTTTATTTTTAATCTTAAATATTATGGATTGTTACTTTTTTGAGAGTTTAATTTTTGAACATGTTTAATTAATAGCCTTCTTTTTTTATTAATGAATAATTGCTTAACAATTAATGAATAACTGCTAATTTTTAACTGTCCCCTTTCGCCCCACCCACTTAAAGAAACTAATACTGTAGTGCAAATATCTCTAGATTATCTTTCGATTAAAACTGCGATTTAATTATTACTTTTTATATATTTCAAGATAATTTAAAGAGCTTAATATAAAATACGCCTACCGAAAGACGGTAACGGAAAAATAAAAATTATCCTACCGAAAGTTTTTTTTTATTAATTAAAATATATCACGTGTCGTAATAAAATAGCTAAATAAAGATATTTTTAATTTGCGCAGATTTAATGTTGAGTAGTCTGTCGTATCAAGGACGTATTAATAGATAGATGTTTAACCCACTGAGGCGCCGCGAATAAACAAAAACCTATGCGAGCTATAATTTTTAGCGTCATTTTTACTGAATAATTTATAAAAGTAAACCGTAATAATTTTTAGCGTCATTTTTACTGAATAATTTATAAAAGTAAACCGTAATAATTTATAAAAGTAAACCGACGTTTTTCCGATAATTTCGTTTCTCTAACTTCTTTTTTTAAAAAGTACAATTACCTATAAACTTTTTTTCAAAATTAATGCATTGTAATTAATCAGAAATAGCTCATCTGTTTTAAAATGTCAAATTTGATACATGAGCGCTTTTTAATAAGAACTTATTATTAATAAAACTTAGACGTCAAAAATCATATTTTTGTAAAAAATTGAGTTTGCAAGAATGAATACTGCAAAGTGAAACGAATTTTCTAGATGTTGTTGGTAAAACTGTAGATTATATATAAATCGAACTATAGATTACTCGTGGTCTCTATTCCCTACACTTAGTTTATACTATTATTTTAAGTATTTAAATTTCTCATTTTTGTCGGAAATTTTGTCTCACTTACAATTTTGTTTTAATATTTTTCGGTGATTAACTTTTTTTTTCATGTAAAGATTTCGCTTGAGTTTATAGATCATATAAAAAAAAGGTTTTGCTTATTTAAAAACTTTTTAGAGTTTTTAGGTGTTATGGAATGTTTGAATATTTCTTAGGCTAAGCGAGACTATCGTTATTTTGACGCAAAATCAAGTAAAAATATTCTGAAGTTAAAAATAGTTAACATCTGTTATCTATTGTTTTGCTATTGTTATTTGTAACAATGAATAGCGTGGATATCTTGGCTTTTAAACAATACGTTAAACGTCCATCTAATAATACGTCCTTGGTCGTATATACTCGTTGCCCCGCACACAAGCGCTCCGGGTTCGAGTCCGCGCTGAGGAATGTGTTTACAATTTTGATTGTTTTTTTCATGTTTTTTGGTTTTATTATGCTTATTAATTGAATAAATTATTTAGGGATATACGCTGGGAATAGCACAATGTGTGTTCTTGCATTAATTGACGCAATGGAGTGTTCATACACTGACTAATTCAGGGATAGACACCAAGGAATGTCATGTATTTACAAATTTAGGTATAAGCGCAGTGAAGTGTGCATTCATTTACTAATTTAGGGTTTGGTATGGGGCAGTCATTTCTATTTATTTAAAGGAAAATCCTATTTAATTTTTTACATTTTTATTGTTTTTGTTTTTTAAAAATAATATGTTAAATTTTCTTCATTTTACGGTATAACAAATATTGTTTATTTTGACGTGATATTCTCAACCAATAAAAAAAACTTTCGGTAGGATAATTTTTATTTTTCCGCTACCGACTTTCGGTAGGCTATCCAAGGCGATGTATATATATAGCTCGAGTCTTCTGCGGCTGAAAATTCAGCCTCACTAGTCAAGGGGTACTTTTGAATCGTTAATTTTTGTTTTTTCATTTAGTAACATAGCATGTAAATATTCCTATATTTTGACTAAGTCGACTTTTAGTTTATATATTTCAAATATATATTTATGGATTAAATAGACTGTAAAATTATTTTAAAATTTTAACAAAACTAGTTTTTTTACAATGTCCAATCAATTCTAAAGCGTAAAAATGCTTAATTATAATCACTCATAAATATAGAAGGATGGAAAACCATAATAACGCACTTATTTGGCACATTATTAGCCCATAGAGCCTTATTAAAATGTTATTATTTTATAAAAAAAAAAAATTCTATTTGTGTAAACTACTAATACTTCTAAATAAAATTTTTTGTATTAAATTATCACAGCATAAAACTTCTACAGAGCATTATATACAGATGTTTTTATGAATAAAATCTTTATGATAGATTCTGTAAAAGATATAGAATTATTATTTAAAATTTTTCATTTATATAAATAGTAAATCCAATAAATGAAG